AGCAAGGTTGTGTCATCTGCATAACGCAGATTGTTGATAGATCGTCCACCAATCCTAACGCCATGCCTCTCCTCATAGAGCCCCACCTCTCAGATAATCTGCTCCGCATACGGGTTGAAAAGGTATGTTCAGGTTGAAAAGCACATGTTGATCTAACTCTAGATGAAGGACAATTCCCTGGAGAGGGACATGATGCTTGGAAGGGTTGAGGGTCAGCAAAGTAGAGGAAGACTCTCAACCAAATGAACTGACACAGTGACTGCCGCAGTGGTCTTTAGTGTGTGAAGATGGCACAGAATACAACTGGGTTCAGATCCACTCTTCATGTACCGGACCATGAACTGGTAGGCTAAGTTAGCTTTTTCTTTAGCCATTACAGTTAGCTGCCTCTGGTCTCCAGCTCCCTTATCTGAAGACAAACGGTCTTGCAAATCAGCATCAGTTGTGGGACTAGGATAGGAGGAAGAGGGCTTCCACTCTGTGAAGCAAGACTTGAGGCAGCAAGATTCTGGTGAAAGAGATCCTGTGGCATTGTTTTAGACAAATGCTGACAAGGTGTGACCTGAGGTTTCTTGCATTTGTGCTGGCCACAGTTAAAGGGGTGTCTTTTCTTGCCAGATGTATGCAGAAGAAGCTGAATTAAAACTGCTGTGGTAAATCTTGCTTAATGATTTGGATTTGGCTGCTGAACTGAAACCAGAACTAAGCCTTATTGAGGAACCGCGCCTTGGAACTGTTGGGCTAAAGCCTAGATGTATTGTGAGATATTCTTTGTCTCCCCCACTCACTGTCCCAATAAAGCCATTATTGGTATCCTAAGTGTGAGTCCGTTAGTTAGCAATGAATAAATGAACCTCTTGCTGCTGTTGCTGGGGCTCAGGAGGCATCTTGGGGTTGGGCTATAGGCTCTTACCTGTTTTCTGCTCTGGGGCAGTGAGGGACTATGTTATTTTTACTCCTCTAGCCTTTGAGAAAGACACTCATGGTCTTGTACCTATATGGTCTGTTTTCTGCTTTTTAGACAAGGCACTAGTTGGACTCCACCAGCTGCTCCTTGGGAGAAAGCTGAGCAGTCTCCTTCCATAAGAGTATACAGCCTCAGAAACTTGATGGAGGGTCAAAAGCAACTCAATGGTAATGGGTTTAGATTTTTTTTAAAAAATTTTGGTAAATCTCTTTACATTTTCCCTCAATATTGTGCTCTTGTGTCTTTACAAAGCCGTCTTGGCTTTGCCGGTTTAAGAAATATTCCATGTTTTATAGTTATTTCTTTGAATTAAGTTTTCATATTTAATTCTGGAATTCATCCAATATGCAATAAGGTGAGAATACAACCTCATATTCCCAAATTTTTAGCCATTTGTCCAATTTATATTTACTGAGCAAGGATAATCTTTCTCACCAATTTGTAGTCCTTATTAAATTATTATTTGTAGAAGGGCTGTTTATCAGTCAGTCAAAATTTTTCATTAAATCTTCATGTTTTCTGGCTTTACAATACTTCAGTTATTTAATAGTTAATTCTATTTTGCTTTCTCCTTATTATTTAATTTTTCCATGAAATTAATGAATTGTGTAAAATTAGTCAAGTTCCCAAGTTACTATCTGGAGTAGAGATGTCTCACTGAATAAAAGGTAAACTTCTATTATGTTTGAAATACTGTATTTTGAGTTCTGTTAGTTCAACAGTGTAGCTTAACCTAATATGGGACCTCTTTCAGCCCTACCTCTTATATTTCCTCAGAGGATAAAACTATTTACTAGTCAAACTAACGTTTTCTTTGCTATGTCTCACATATCTTTTCTTTTCGTGCCACTGACATTATTTTCCTCTATAAAACTACCTAGCTATTTTTCTAAGAGTTCATTTGAAAGTTCTCTTTCTTACGAGGACTTCTCTGATCTTTAATAGTAAGGAGTTACATTCTAACCCAACGGCATATGGTTCAAATCTACCAGATGTTCTGCAGGAGGAAGATGGGCAATCTCCTCCTGTGCCATCTACTGTCTCTGAAAATCCACTGGAGGGTCAGCTATGAATTAGTTCCAACTGGACAATATGTAACAACAACAAAATAGAGTATCTAATGATAACAGTTATAATCTGGTGATACAATTATTAAGTGCACACATTTGGGGCAAACCTGGGTCAAATGTTATCTCAGAGACACTGGTACTATGTTACTAAGTTTTAATATTAACTGTTATTTATAACTAATAAAAGAACAAATACACACTACTCATGTACAATCCATCTGAACAGATAGGTATACTATAAGAACAGACTAAAATTTGAGGCGTTGGGCTCAGTTCTAACACAGATGGACTGGTTAATTGTATAAATGTTAATATACTGGGTTTGGTTTTTTTAGTGAAAGGGCATTTTCTTACAGGAAAGTAGAAATATGATTGGCAAAAAGCTTTATTATGCTTAAATAATTCCAGATTATAAATGGCTTTACTAAAATTTATGAAAGCCCACTTCATTTACCTATAAAACTTGCTTCAGTTGAAATGGTTAGATAAAATTCCTCCATGGAATTTACACATATTTACATATTGTAAAATTATCAGACCAACAACGTTGGTAGTTTTTCCATAGTTCCATTTATTCAACATCTGAAAAATTTGGATCAGTCCATGTATGTTGTTGTTAGATGTCACTGAGTTGAGTACGACTCATAGAGACCTTATGAACAAAAGATCTGAACCCTGCTATATCCTGTGCCACAGGAGTCCACTGCAGCAGTCACTGTGTCAAGCCACCTGGCTGAGGGTCTTCCTCTCCTTCACTGACCCTCCACCCTTCCCAGCATCATGTCCCTCTCCAAGGAATTAGACCCTGAAGGAACTGGCAAGAAACAAGGCTCCAGGAGTTGACAGCATAACAATTGACATATTTCAACAAACAGACACTGCCCTGGATGTGCTCACTAAGTTGTGCCAAGAAATCTGGAGAACAGCCAGCTGGCCCATTGACTGGAAAAGATCGATATTTGTACACATTCCAAAGAAAGGTGACCCAACAGAGTGTGGAAATTATCGAACAATATCATTGATATCACATGCAACCAAGATTCTGCTCAAAATTATCCAAAAACATTTGGAACAATATGCCACCAGAGAACTGCCAAATGTGCAGGCTGGATTTAGAAGAGGTCGTGGTACTAGGGATATTATAGCTAATGTCAGATGGATCTTGGCAGAAAGCAGAGAATACCAGAAGAATGTCTATCTGTGCTTCATTGACTATGCAAAGGCTTTTGACTGTGTGGATCACAACAAGCTGTGGCTGACTCTAAGAAGAATGGGAACCCCAGAACATTTGATGGTGCTAATGCGAAACCTATACTTGGAACAGGAGGCAGTTGTCAGAATAGAGCAAGGAGACACGACATGGTTCAAAATCAAGAAAGGGGTCCGTCAGGGATGTATTCTGTCTCCATACCTTTTCAATCTGTATGCAGAACACATCATCCGAGACGCTGGGCTATACAAAGAGGAATGTGGAATCAGGATTGGTGGAAGAATCATCAACAACCTGCGTTATGCAGATGTCACAACCCTGCTTGCTGAAACTGAGGAGGACCTGAGGTGCTTGCTGCAGAAGATCAAGGACTACAGCCTCCTATATGGACTGAAGCTAAATGTCAAGAAAACAAAGATTCTAAAAAAAAAAGAAAACAAAGATTCTAACCACTGGGCCAATTGGCAGCATCAGCATGGATGGTGAGGAGACTGAGATAGTTAACAGTTTTAATTTACTTGGCTCCACAGTCAACGCTCTTGGTAACAGCAGCCAGGAAATCAGGAGAACGAACTGCATGGGAAAGTTGGCTGTGAGGGACCTCGCAAGAGTACTGAAGAGCAACGATGTCAGGCTGGAGACTAAGGTGCGCCTGATCCGGGCTATAGTCTTCGTGGTTATGTGCTATGCATCAGAGAGTTGGACAGTGAATAGGGCTGATAGAAAGAGGATTGATGCCTTTGAGCTGTGGTGCTGGAGAAGAGTGTTGAATATACCATGGACTGCTAGGAGAACAAACAGGTCTGTCCTGGACAGGGTGAAGACAGAGTGTTCCCTGGAGTCAAGGATTCTGAGGCATGTTGCAAGGAGGGACTGGTCCTTGGAAAGGGACATTATGTTTGGCAGAGTGGAGGGGAAGCGAAGGAGAGGAAGACCTTTGGTGAGATGGATCGATTCTGTGACTGGAGCAGTGGGAATAAGTGCGTATGAGATGGCTAGGTTGGCACAGGATAGAACAGCATTTAGAGCCCTTGTACATAGGGTCGCTATGAGTCGCAAGTGACTCGATGGCACATAACAACAACAACAACAGTAATATACTCAAAGTAAGTGAGACAAAGCCTCATCATTCTTGCCTCCAAAGGGCACTCCAGCTGCACCCTCTCCAAGACATATCTATTTGTTCTCTTGGCTGTCAGTGGGATGTTTAGTGCTCTTCTCCAACACCACAGCTAAAAGATGTCACTTTTCCCCCTTCACTGTCTAGCTTTCAGATGCACAGCAAGTGATCAGAAAGACCACAGCCTGAATCAGACGAACCATAGTCTTCAAATTGGCATCATTACTCCTCAATTATTATTAATCTAACTGCAGATTTTCCCAGTGCAATGTGCCTCCTTATTTCCTGACTGCTGGTACCAAGGGTGTTAAATGTGGATCCAAAGAAGATGAAACTGTTGACAGTTTCAATCTCTTCTCCATCTATCATGATGATACCTATAAGTTCAGTGGTAAGAATCTGTTTTTCTTGACATTGAGAGGAAAGCTCAAGGCTGAAGTCTGCCTTTCTTGATCTTCTGCAACAAGTGCTTCAAATCCTCCGCACTTTCAGCAAGCAAGGTTGTTGATCTGCCTAACACAGGTTATTGAGGAGTCTTGCTCCAATCCTGATGCCACACTCCTTTCCACAGAGTCCAGCTTCTTGAATAATTTGCTCAGCATACAGATTGAATAGGTGTGGAGAGAGAATAGAATCCTCATGCACTCCTTTTCTCAATTTTAAGCCATGCAGGTTTCCCACGCTCTGTTGGCACAACAGTCTCCTGGTTCAGGTACATGTTCCATATGAGCACAATTAAGTGCTCTGGGATTCACATTCTTCTCAATGACAGCCACACCTTGTTATGATACACAAAGTCAAAGCCTTTGCATAGTCAATAAAGCACAAATAGATATTCTTCTGGTATACTACAGAACTAAAGCTGTTAGAAATCAGTTAATCTTTGGATAGGTACATTGAACTTATACATATTTCCTCAAACTAAAGGTCTATTATATTTTACATAGACTTTCTGACAGATTAAAAGAGACCTTATACTAACTATTCTAAAGAGATGTATACTGAAGAGATCTTACCTGTTGTTTAGGCATCTCTCTATCCTCTAAAATAGGGTTTCTCACAACATTCTGTTGTTCCTGTATATGAAATTAGAAAATTATGTAGCTATTTACTTAAAGACAAATATAATTAAGGAAAAACAATAACCAAGTACCCCCAAACCATAATCATTACATTTCAATTTGTTGATGATCGCTAACTGAAATTCCAAGTTATAACTAGTTAATAACAGATATTAAAGTTACTCAATGTAGTACACTTTAAACAGCATATAAGCTACAAAACCATCAATGTTAGTATTTATATTATAAAAATGCATTTGAGTGTTTTATTTTTCTTTTTAAAATGTTTTTAAATTTATTATTTTGTGTGTGTACTGTCAAATCGGATTCGAACTGGTGGATTCGAACCTTGGACCTGAGATTGCAGTGCAGCTTCTTGCCACGAGGCCACCAGAGCTCCCTGAATTTGAGTGTTTTATATGCAAGGCTAGTAAATTATATAACTTGAAAATAACTATACAATTAGCTTTAGATCATAGAAGGGTGAATCATAGATAGAAACTCTTTATGCCTTGGCATTTGGTTCAAGAAAAAATTTGTTTTCATCCTATTTGTCAATTCATTTCTACAATTTACGTTCCTTAAGGGATGAAGATGCTAAACACCTCCCAGATCATATGAATTATCCTGATGTAGCTTACCTTACTACCCTTAAGGCTATTAACAGATACAAGAAATGTTTTAAAGCAACAGTTAATAAAAACAATTTTCAATTAGGAGTCATACTTTCGTACATCAGCTACTCTATATATTGGGAAGAATTAAGAAGTTCAGCAAATATTTTGTCAATGAGAAGAAATGTACAGGGAGGTACATGTTTAAAAGGAGAAATGTCAGAGTGGTGATTTTTTAAAAAACACTTATATATTTTTAGTTAATGTTAAGAAATGCCAAGGAATTTGCTGATTCCCAGCTCCCCCCAACTTTAAAATACAGCAGCTATTATATTGTCTTAGAAATCTAAGACTGTATTTTAATTGGAAAAAATTTTAATGCTATTTTGAACTGAATCTCAAACTTGTAAAATAAAACTGCTCTGCTTAATAAGTTATTATCTAACATTTTTTTACCTTCCTTGATGATTCTTTAAACCTCTGTAAATCCATGCTATTCCTGTGTCCTAAAAAGAAAAAAAACAAAAACACACAAAACTTAGTTTTTCCTTGCCTACTGAAACAGATTTGTCCTGGAAAGGGTTAAACCGGGTGGCTCCTTGGAGGCAAGGATTCTGAGGCTCTGTCTAACATACTTTGGACATGTTGTGAGG